ATATTTCTGGAAATAGTAAAATTATATTTGTGTAATGAAATCAGTAATCATCTACTATAACGAATAATTCGTTAACATTATAACGAATTATTCATTATACATACCGCATAATTCGTTATAGCATTAACGAAGATTCTTATAACGAAGTCCTGATCGGCTGAATCAGCAACTTCGTTATATCGAGGTGTGACTGTATTCTGATGATAACTTCATGATCTTTCATTTGTCCTAATCATTAATATTCTAGATAGAATAAAATAGTCAACAGTTATATATGCAATATCGGAAACTAAATCAACAGATAATAACATTAACCTTAAAAGCTCCGCTGAAAATTTATATTGTTTGCATTTGTAATGCTAGTAAAGGTCCTCAGAAATCTGCAAAAAAAATAAAAATGAATATTACTCTTGAAATCATTTCAACTGAAAAAAAATATATTTCATTTATACCATATTTGCGTAATATTTAAGCTCAAAATAATACAACAGACATTCATAGAAGGACTTTCACATGATTGGCTGATTATGTTACACGAATTTTGTAGTTGATATTATAAATATTTATATACGTCACGTGATATACTATGCGATTATATAATTTAACTATTGTATTTAATCTATTTAGCATTTATATGTATAATAAATTAAAGTATTAAAAATAAAACCTTTATTACAAAAATTAGTTTAATTTATTGATTTTATATAATAGTCTTAGTTTTTATTAAAAAAAAAAAAAATGTAAAAAATTTGTTATTTTTATTATAATTAAAATGCTTCTCTAAATAAAATTATCCTTTTAAATAATCTATTGCTATTGAAATTTATGCAATGCCTCTTCTAATGCCTCTTCTAATATATACGCTATATATTCTATAAGTTCACTTTCATCATCGTCATCATATAGGATATTATTTTCTGGATCTTCAACTTCAACTTGCTATTCTTCAAAATGATGCAAGCATTCTAATAAAGATTGAACATGTTCATTAATACTGACTTGTAAAAATAAGAGGCAATACATGCACTTGAATCCATTATCAGTATAGCAATATTTGTGATAAGTGTAATTGCAAGCCAAAACTTTAATAGGATCTGTATTAATTAATAAAGAATTAGAACAGTTAGATACATCGCAATATTGTAATAGATCTAGTCTATATAAAGTATTAAACCCTAAAGGAAGATAGCATAATTGTGCTTCTGGCATTTTCATCACTATTAATAAAATGAAAATTTCATTAATTTTTTGACGTTTCTTCGAAGGTGAATTTGGATTCATAGTAATCTGTAATGGAATTATTAATGGCAGTTTATTGTGAAATACACATGTATAGATTTTTGAAAAACATTGCAAAAGAAAACATGCACTTTTCTTTATTAAGAATATAATATCTTGAGAAAAATATTTATAGGCAGCCCACATAGATGTGTATGCAATATTTTCTCTAAACCTATTATCGTTTAAACATAGTCAGTTGATATAATATCCGTATTTGATGATCTGCTGTGCCTCAGTATATTTCTAAGTGCTTTGACGTAAAAAGTTGTGAAATATTTCTATAGTTGAATCTGAAATTTTAGAAGTTCAGCAACAATAGTATCTAAGATAGGATGTTTATTTAACTCCTAGTAGAATATATCTGAAAAAACATTAATGGAGCTTTAGTATAATTTTGCGGCAGAATTTAAGAAACACTATTCACACACGAAAGCATGATTCTAAATAGGCATTAAAATTACCAGATTGGAAAAATACTGCATATATATTCAAAATCAGAGAAATAAGATTATTAAGCAAGTCTTTTAGTGTAAGATATTTAGCATCTTTGTACAGAAGTCTGAATTTTGTTTCAATATTCATCAAAATTTCCTGCCAAGTACTATGAGAAACCTCTAAAAAGAGATTAATATGTCATGGCTTAGGTATTTGCGCAAGAAGCCTCCGTTTTTCAAATATATATTTGTATATGACCGAAAAAAAGGTTGATATTGAAGAAATATTAATTCTCGACCATTCAACGAGATGTGTAAGAGACCTATAATAGGAAGGAATGAAAAAATAGAATTAGTAATATTCGATTGATCATGATATAATATATGACGAGAAATGGCTGTTCTAAAATAAATTTGTCTAGGCCAATCAGCGATAACAGAAATAATATATCCTTTTTGAATATACTGCTGTAAAGACAGAACATCTACAACAGTATTAATAGCTTTAATATATGCATTTAAACTATAAAGATTATTCTCTTATAAATCTATAAGGACAACATCTTTCATTGAATGGGCGTTACGTTTCTCTTTCAGTCTAATATCATAACTATATATAGTTAACTCTTCCAATCTAGTATTATCAACTGAATGAAATCCCTAACGTTAGTTATGCAAAAGACTGAGAAGCATCATAAATCTATTGTTCAGATTTAGCTTTATCAACTCAGCATTAATCAATTCAGGATTGTATATATTTACATTCAAAATCGCATATTGTGTAGTGATCAGATTTATTAAAATCGTTACCAGATGTGCTGCAGTAGAAGTAGTAATTGTGTTTGCATCTGCTTTGTATGAATACTATGGTAATTATCAATATTTAAGATCATGGCCTTCTCTGCATATTTCGCAAGCGTAGAATTAACAGTTTTAGCATGATTATTGGAGATGGTAGTTTTATGACACGTAATTGTTCAGGATGTTGTAGTTACACTTAGATCAGCAAGAGTATCTATGGAGGCATTAGAAATACTAGTGGAATTCAAATATATTGTCAAATCTATCTTTGCATCATTAACAAACTTGTTACGAATTCCGCAAAGAAAGTAGCATATAAATAGGAGCTGCTTTTTCGCCTGTGCTTGCGATATTTCATTTTTTGAAGAAGGGTTAGATGAAATATATAACTCATCAAAAAAACCTTTAATCTTGCATCTTTTCCTTCCATAACTACATGAAAATCATTAAATGAGTAGATTATTTGTTTTTTTTCCTTATTTTCACAAATATATAAAATTTTAGTTATTATTCCTATTGCCTCAGAGAAGGATAAGACAGAAGGTGGAGGTGGCGGTGACGAAAGTGGAGGTAAAACTGGAGGTGGAGGTGGAGGCGAAGGTGAAAGTTCTATACCAGCTTGAACATGTTGTTGAAATGCAAGTGTACGGTTTACCACAATTCCGTTATAACAGCCTAAGCAGATCGTATTACCTACTTGTAAATAACTTAGCAAAGTATTGTTAGTTTGACCCTTTGCAATAACATACTCAGTTACCTTTTTCCATTTTATTGACTTCTGGCTTTGGCATATTGTAATTACACATGGTCCAGTATTCATATTACCTACTAAGTAAAGTATCTTTAAAATTGGGATTATTTCGGAATTATTTGCACAGCGAATGTAAACACACCTTTAAAGCTAAGAGAAAAAAAATTTTTATATTTTTATATGTGAAACGTTACATTCTCAAAAGTACTCTAAACTGTATAAATAATGTTGATTAGGATCGACCAATCACGTGAAAGTCCTCCCATGAAACGGACATATCATTACAGTTAGAGTAAGAAAAGTTGTGGCAGATGGCCGAAGTATTGAGAATTTATTTTTTGGGTTAAACATGAAATTTATTGAAAGATTATGCATTGTTATCAAATGGTTGTTAACACGTAATAGATTTACAATTCACTTAGGAGTTCTTTTTAGATTAAGAATTGGACTATTTTGAATATTTGTTTTCCTACATTTTCCGCGAATGTTTTCGGAATGCAACTTTTGGACGATTGTTTCTGTTTCAGATAATTTCCTCTATATAAAACAGGATAAAATGAGGACTCATGAATTGATTAAAACGATAGGATAAAATGATAAATATCAAATTACATACTTCCAACTCTTTTAGAAGGCAAAAGACGCTTTCAAATAAAATACAACTTTCTTTATTAGATGGAAATGAACAATAATCAATTCTCCCGAAACGGTATATGCCATCTCCAGCCCAATCCATGGCATATAAAGATAAGTCTAAACCTGTATTGTGAAATCACATTAGTTATATAGTGAAAAAAAAAAAAAATAATTAGAATTTCCTGTTACCTGCAAGTGTCCATCCATATACAATGAGCTCTTTTCTCTGATCATCACACAAATATTTCCATTCTTTAAGAACTTGATTGAGTGAATCTCTCATCAACACGGCGAGCTTTACCTTATCAAAAAATTTTTTTTTTCGTGAAGCAAGTGAGATTCCAATCGAAGAAAGTCCGCCTGCAACTTCTCCATATAATGCTTCAAATTTATTTGAAGTCCTAGTCAAGACTCCTTTCATGTCGACCTTTCTTCCAATGCGAGCCTTAACAAAAGGATTTGCATCTTCGTTTCTTGCTTCTTTAGAACCAATCGCTTGAACCTCTCCCCTATATGCAGAAAGTTAATATTACTTTAAATATTCTGCGACATAATAAGCGAACAGTAACCTACCATATATCATTGACCAATGATGAGTCTAAAACTGCATTAAACAGAGGGTATATCGTTGTGAATTTGAGTGATTCTTCTGTCTTAGCTCCCTTGGTGGAAGGCATATGACATATTCTGGTAGAAGAAAAAAGCCCCTTATTAGATAATATCAAAAGAATTCGCTAAAATAACTGATAAGCCAATTCTTACGCAAATCTAATATTCATGTGGAGATTTTCAAATGTTTCATAATCTTCGATCCTCTCAATCTTAGATGGATCGCAATTAGATTTGAAATATTCTTGAAGGTATTTAGGAGTTGGTTTTGGAGACCATTGGACGTGATCTGCAAAATCTTGTGTAATTACGTCAATTTCGCCCTGGGAAAACTCTGTGCAACCGTGGAGACTCTCTAGGGTCAAATCGATAATTCCCCAGTAACCTAACCTATTAGTTAGCAAACAAAATTTATGAACAAGTAATTTCATATTAAAATCAAGATAGCAAAACTCACGTTATAATTCGACGCGTTTTGGGAATCTTATTTTGATAACTCGTAAATTTCGCAGAGATGCTTTTCCAGTCACCTTGCTTTAAAGATCATTGAATTAATATGCTGAAAATTAATTATAATCTTGGCTATAACAAAAAAACATACATCAACTTTCTTTTTTGAATCTTTTGAAGCGGGTAATGTCACTTCCTTTCCCAAACTGGATTCATCAATGGATTCAACTATACCATCCTCATGTGACTCATCGAATAAGAAACTTGGTTCTCCTATTGTTTCCTTTGATAGTTCATCGTCCGTATTGTCCGTTCTTCTCTTTTTCTGCTCATGGGAAACTTTTTTTTGTGTTGCCTGTCTTTTGAAATTAACAACATCTGTGGCATTATCATAAGCCTTTTTGTTTGTTTGTGCACGTAACAAGTTCTATTTTGGATTGCAAGCTATACGCGTAAGTTTTCCATTTAGATCGTACCTATAGATGTTAACAACCACTAACCTTGCTAAGATTTTTACCATGTCGTTGCTAGATATGTTGCTTCCATTATATCTTGGCTTTCAGTTTCCTATTCATAATTTTTATAAGCATTCTACGAGCAAAGCAAAGTAAATAGATTTTGATACTTACATTCATAATTTCGTTGAGACTTTTCGCATATGCTCGAACGCTAAGAGGTGTCGATTTGATTTTATTTATAATACATAGAGACTCGTGAAATTGTTCTATGCATGTGGTCCAAATGGGAGGCTCGGTGTTCTCACATATCCAATTAACGTAATGTTCGAAGGTCCAAAACCTTGCCTGTACGGTACTAAAGTATGAATGAACCTTCGAATTATCTGTACTAATATCAACACAGTATGACCAGACATCAGTAGACATACTCTCTGTTGTTTTGTTATTTTGTTAGCGAGCTTAGAATTTGACCTTCCGCGAACAATAAATACGCGATCTCTGCTCACGTGATAATAACATCTATCGTCCACAAAATTAACGGTTACACCAATTTTGCTTATACACTTTGCCCCAGTGACTTCGCTTCACAAGTAAATTGACAGACTACTTTGCGACGGCCACTTGGGCGGCGGGTGTCTGAGGTGGAAAATGACAGAGTATTTCGCGACGGCCACTTGGGCGGCGAGACTTTGGGAGGCGAACTTTGCTCAAGCCAGATCGCGACGGCCACTTGGGCGGTGATCTTGCTTGTCATTGAATGAAAAACAAGAAACTAGATCTTGCTTTTTATTGTGATGAAAAGGCCAGTATGTTCATGACGGCCACTTGGGCGGTGAGCAAACTGAGTTTTCCTCCTCCAAAGAGCTTCACGGCGGCCACTTGGGCGGTGACTCTTTGGCTTTTCCGTTTGTGCCTATTCAATTTACTACGCAGATATATTTGTCTTTTGCCAAGAAAAATTTTTTATTTTCCACGTTTAAAAATAAAGGCCTGATATGTGCAAACTTATTAATTTTAGGGAGTTGGCATAAATGACGTGAGAGTACGCGGATCAATGTGACTCCCTGCGTCGTATTATTTCACAATATTTCCTGGAGTATCCGAACTATATTTCAAACTGGTCTGAGCTGCCGTATTACTAGCCACCTCGGTAAGCTATACAAAGCGAGCGCCGCATGGCTAACCCCCAATGCTACCATAGTAGGATGGATTCAGGCCAACTACTGGAAAGAGGAGTCTTTAACAACCTAATTGGAATAGCTGCCCAACACAGTTGTTACGCCCAGACTGTCAAAATCACCCCCAAGAATTGAACTCGGGCCTCTCAACGGTATTTCAACTAGATATTTCCTAAACTATCTTCCTATCTTCCTTTTCTTTGTTATCTATTGAAACAAATTTTGATCACTCCCGTCCATGCAAAACATATGAATAGTAAATTTTTATAGGAGAACTTTCCTGAGAAGTAATTTCGGATCTATTGCATTATTCTGAAGCGAAGAATTAGCAATGTGTAAAAAAAATAATATCTCTGTCCACTTTGACATTATATTTATCATTTTCACAATATTTCACTTCGCCTCATGTCCAAGAAATTTTATTCCTTAATAAAGCCGGATGAGTGATTTAACTACACCAATACACGTTTTAGATGGTGAACATTAAGAATCTGAAACTTGATGATGGACACCTATCTATAAACCGACAATTAGCATATGTAAAAGAAATAGAAGTAGTTCGTGTGCATGATCAGGCAGTATTGTCATAGGACATGGACATGGACATGGACTGTCCGATCCCATATTGAGCCAATCAAATTTAGGAAACGCGCTATAGATTTATGCGCGTTAATGTGCTAACGATATATTTCTTTCTTTGAAATATCCAGCGTATAGTAGAACCATATGTGGGATGGTCTAGCGAAGATCTCGCCAATTTGTCTTTTAGAGCATATGGAATAAATGACTGTTTTCTGTGATGCAAATGGTAAGTTTATTAGAATTTTTTTTTTTTTATCTAATAAATACTAATTTATTTTCAGATCCAGGATTTTTCAAACCTTAGTTTGATCTAAGGTAAAAATTTAAGAATGAAAAATCAATTTTATTTACCTTATTTCTATAACGAAATGGCTTCTTCAAATCTTGAATATTATAGCAAACCGGATTTGGATCATTTTGAGGTAAGTCTTACAAACGAAAATTTTATTAAACTTTTTTTTTTTTTAAGAAAAAATCAAACAACTAACCACTATGCTTACCTTCTTGTAGCTATTCTTTGATTCTTTAATCCTTAGATCATCGGAGGTAAGTCCCATAAAAGAAAATTTTGTTAAATATTTTTTTTTTTTTAAAAAAAAAAAAAAATCTAACTACCAACTATACTTGCTTTTTTGTAGTTATTGGCCTTGGATCGTTTGGTGGTAAGTTCTAAAAAAATTATTATTAATTATTTTTTTAAAAAAAAAAAATATATACTAAATACAGTTACTTCCTTCTTATAGCTTCTGGATTCTTCAAATCTTGATTTTCGGAGGTAAGTCTTTAGGATATTTTTTTTTTTTAAAAAAAAAAATGGTCTTATTGGAAAAGTGATTAATAATAAACTTAATTTTTTTTTAGATTTGCCTGTATGTTATCTTGCTTTTTGATTTATAGAAAGGTTAGAACAATTGTGTTATTTAAAGATCATTTGTATATTCTGGAAACCACAAGCGACTGTCGACGACCTTACATATGCCCATGTCTCCCGGCTGGTCAGCTAATGCATCCCTCTGCGTTTGCTTATTGCTGTTTGAGGTCGCAGGATCTGGATTTGCAAATGATCTAAGGATTATACTCTTGTTTAACCTTGAAATAAAATTAAAAAGGGATTTAGATATATATTGGCAATTTTAAATAACTAAAAAATTTTTAAAAAAAAAAAATTGGTCTTATTAGAAAAGTGATTAATAAACTTAATTTTTTTTTTTTTAGATTTGCCTGTATGTTATTTGCTTTTTGATTTCATGGAAAAGTTAGAACAATTGTGTTATTTAAAGATCATTTGTATATTTTGAAGACCACAAGCGACTGTCAACAACTTTACATATTCTCATGTCTCCCGGCTGGTCAGCCAATGTATCCTTCTGCGTTTGCTTATTGGTATTTGAGATTGCAGGATCTGGGATTTACAAATGATCCAAGGATTATCCTCTTGTTGAAATAAAATTAAAAAGGGATTTAAATACATATTGGCAATTTTTGTATATAGTATTGACTTACATCAATTTTTATGCTTTATTCAATATTTTTTTTTGCTAAAAATTAACATCATTGCATTACTGCATCTTTTAATCTATATTAAGTATATGAATTGAAATTTTAAATGTTTAATTTGAAGTTATAGGGATTTTAATAAATTCATTATATTATCAATTTATTTATTTTTAACATGACATTTAAAATAAAAAATTTTGATTTTTACAAAAAAAAAAAATTGTCAAAATAATAAATTTAAAAATATTATTTAAAAGAAACTTCTAATTCTTTTAAATTTCATTTCACGTTGGAATCAATTGCAAGATGAATTAAATTATTAATTGTTATAGATCCTTTTTCATTCTTAGATTGTATATCAAAATCATTAAAAATTTCTGCTTCTAGCATTCCTATCCATTCTTCTAAATATTTATCAAATTCTTCTAAATGATCTGATTCCTCTTCTAAATTTCTTTTTTTGAAGAAAGATTTTTAACATTTTCAGTTTCTTTAACATTTTCATTATTATTTATATAAGAATGTTTATGACTATTAATGTTAATTACAATATTTAATGGAATTGGAAAAGGATCAAATTTAAAATGATTATTTCATGTAATATTTACTCTTAATTTACTCATGTCAATTGTTTTTGCTGATTAAAAAAAAAATTATTATTTATTAATTTTTAATATAAAATAATAATAAATACTTATTATTAAATGATTTTGTTGATTTGTTTGCAAAAAATCTATACAACTCTAAAGATGTTTAACAAAGGTTGTATTTACACAAATTTTAAATATTTTACAAGTAATTAAGCTTAATTCATTAGTAAATATCTTTATAAAATACCAATATTATCAAATACATTAGGAATATTTTACAAAGTATTATATAAGATTTACAATTTGTAAACTTATGCAAATTTTATAGTATAAGGTTACGTAATATTTACATTTTTAGTGTAGTACTTTACATTTTTTACTAATTATAATATTTGCAAAAAACTACAAACATAGTATTTCACATTATTTACTAATCATAATATTTATGAAATACTTCTGATCGAAATACTTTGAATGTTTACATTCTATAATATTTATGTAAAATTATGGGTGTAATGCTTTACATAATTTACTGTTTATTTACTAATTATAATATTTGCAAAAATTACGGGTATAATATTTTACAAGTTTTATAATCTGTAAAGTTTATGAAATACTATGATCAAAGTTTATCATAAAGTTTACAGTCTATAATATTTACGTAATATTAAGGTTAAAGTACTTCATAAGGCATATTGTAATTATAATATTAAGTAAATCATTAATTTTTATTTTTAAAAACTTATGTAATTTGACAATACATTAGATTTTTGTATTCCATTCATCAACTTCAGAATGTAATATCATGTTAATTAAAGTATTAGTCATTAAATATTTTCTTTTTACATATTTTAAATCTATATTTTGATAAAATATTTACATATTTTAAAAGATTTATATATTAAAATAAATTAAAAATCAAATATAGAGTTAAGTTTATTAAGTAGTATTAAATATTAGTTTCTAAATTTTCTTTTTTTATCTTTAATGGACTGGATAACACTCTTATACGAGTGTTATCCAATTCCACTATAATGTTATTTAATTATAAATATAATGTTATCTAGCTATGAGTATAATGTTACTTAGTTACTATTTTTAATGTTCTGTAGCCTTACTATTGCTTTATTGATATCCACTTGATTTCATTGCTCTATAGCTTTTTTATTGCTTTGTAGATATTTGCTTGATTTTATTGCTCTATTCTCTTTTTATTTCCTTCTAGCTATTTGCTTATTTTCATTACTCTGTGATCTTTTTATAGCTAAGATATTAGGCTAATATTTATTGCTAAAAATCATGTTGTAATCAGGTAGTGTAATAAATTTGCAATTAGATTTATGTGATTTAAGCTCGTTTGAATAAGAACGTTAAGAACTTTTCAATGATATTAATATCATATGGATTAGATACCTGGATACCAAGTTATTGCATTTCAAAGTTTTAGAAAAAAATATGGAATAGTGCTAGCCAAAATTAATAAAATTTACTGTGTCTTACTGTGTTAATTATGTGTTTCAGTTCTTTGCCAGTTTTAGGCACTTTTCCGTCACTTTCAAGTAACTTTTGAGTAACTTTCGAGAGCCTGATTTGGTGATCAGTTGGTTAGAAAATTGAAGATATAATTTGCATTATATTGATCAACCTATATATTTTCCTTTTCGATTACCATTTTTTGATTGCTGGATGAGGTAGTGATGTACATTTTTGATGTCTCAGAGATTTGTTATCCCAGCTATATATTTTAACCTATTACACACTATGTTTCAAATATCTTATCTGTCTTATTTATGTCCCATCAGTGTCCCATGACAATACTAGGATGAGGCACATGTAAAGTGCTGAATTTGCAATTCATCTATTTGCTAAAGATGTGTCACAGTTATTTCACTCACTTTTTGATTGCCAGTGAGGCATATGCAAAATGCTAGTATTATGCATTTCTTGCAATTCTACCTTTCGTGACCCTTTTGATTGCTGAAGATAAGGCACAAAGTGCTGAATTAGTTCAGGTTATATTGCTTCTTTTTTTGTGTATTCTTATAAACCTTTCTACCTTCCCAATCTCTTTCCTGCCTATCAGCGGTAGTATATCAAAGCATAACTTCTTATTTTCTTCCTATATATTATTCTACTTTGGTATACTACTAAATTTATATCTTATTTTTCGCTCTTGCATTCCTAGAACTTTTTCCTGTATAGTTACTACTTTAGGATACTACCACATCAATCACTTTGAGGTACTACCACATCGTTTACTTTTGAGTACTACCACTGACCTAGTGTTTTGCCAGTAAACATATTCGTCCAAAATTTTTATTTTAAATTTGAGATTTTGTTAGTGTATATATACTAGAAACTTTCTATTTATCTATATTAAAAAGTTTGCTTTTATTATGTTACTTACATAAAAAAATGCTGAACTTCACTCTAAGATAATAAATAAAGCAATCAGGCTCTTTTTAGGATTAGCAGATTTTAACTATGAGTCTGGTTATAATGATCATATATACTTTTAATATTTGTCTAATAATAAAAATGATATCTTTCTTTTAGGAGCTTATCATCCTGAAGAAATTTATTCAAAATATATTATTCGGGTAGCAGGAAGAGTTTTACAATAGCTGATCATCCATCTGAAGTTTATGAGTTTCATAATACTCATGAATACATTGATAGAAATCTGTCTTTTTGTCTAGTTCTGGATATTGATGCAAAGCAGTATTCTGATTCCATAAATCCTAAATTCCCTTCCTTAGATGAATATAAAATTTCTCGTGAAGATTTATTATCTAAAATCTTAATTGCTTGTGCTAATATTATATATTCTAATTTAAATCATTTCATAATTTTAAATGCTTTTGCTTTAGCCAATTCATCTAATGCTAATAAATACAGTTAGCATATTATGTATCCTTATGCCTGTTTTTTAATTACAGAGACCTTAAAGGTTTTGTAGAAAAAGTTGCTGATAGGGTTGAAAAGCCATATTTAGAGTTTATTGATATTGGATTCTATAAATCTCGTTTCAGCCTTCGTTTTCTTAGATCAATAAAGGAAGATAGAGTTAAAAAACCTGCAATTTCTTCTGTCAAGAAAGGATATTGCAAGTTAGAAAATTATTTAGTTTAGCCTAAATCCAATTATTCTGAAATCTAGCCTCGAACCTTTTCCTCTGAAAAATTGAAAAAAGAGGAATTTTAACTTATTGAAGATAAAACTGTCTTAAACATAAGAGCTAGTTTGATTACTGCAAAATATGGATGGCTTGAGGTTAGTGATATTAGAAAGGAATTTGTCAACTTTCAAGCTCAGTCATTAGAAGCATACTCTATTTGCGATATTAAACATGAAAAAGATCAGTTATATGGTTTTCTTTTTAGAAGCAGAAGCTTTATGCTTAGATGCTATCGGCAAAAGCAATATAAATCAGATCATAAAGGATTAATATTCAGGAAAGCAACTAAATTTTCTACAAAGTCTAAATGAGGAATAGTTAAAAGAATAGGCGATACTATATCTAATCTGTGTCTCCTCAAAAATAGCAATTAATGTAGAAAAATTAAGAGATATTTCTGAAGCATATCCTGATTTTTTGAATACTAAGAAAATAATAACACTTATTTGTTCTCCTCTAAGGATATGAAAAATCACTACATTAAGAGAAATTATTATGGTATTGAAAGATAAAATACATGATATTTCTTCTTTACCTAGATCTCTTACTGAAAGTCTCTTAGTAATGAATTAAAATCTAAACTTATTGAGTTAAAAGTATTTGGCTTTCAAATTTGCAACTACCAAAATATGCAAGGAGACTTATTTATAAATGAGTGGGATATTATCATAGTACAGGTTGAGAGTCTCTTTCGTGTTGAATTCACAGCCTGTCCATTTGTAGCTATTCTTAATAAAACTAATGTCATTATGCACTAAATGTTTAGCGATACAAATGTACAGAAATCTGAAAATACAATGCGTAATATTTTAAGACTTGCAATACATATTTTGGCCATAGATATCTTCACAAATATCTCAACACTAACCTTCCTTCAGATTTATCATGGTGAAAATATTTGTGTAATCAATAATAAGTATCAGCCTCGTATAGGTGAAACAGTTGAATTTCTTTATGATCCAAATAGTGAAGCAGAAGCTATGCAAATAGGATATGACCTTTTGAAGCAGGGTAAATGTGTGGCATTTGTATCTACCAGAGCAGTAATAGCTAGAGCATTAGTAAAAAAAGCATTTAAGTTATTTAAAGCTGATAATTCACCTATTAAAGCTTATACATATTATGGGGATATGGATGAGAAACAGTGATAAAAAGATTTTTCTGATATTAATGTTACTTAAAGTGAACTTGACTGTATAGCTTATATAAATATAGTGAACGCAGAAATATCATTTAAGATTACAGGTCACTTCAATATAGTTATAGCTATTACAAATATCACTACTCCAATTCATGTCGAAGTTCTTGCACAAATGCTTTACCAAATTTGTGATTGTCTTTGCTGTATTGTTTCTATATTCTATCAGAAAAATTCTAACAAACTTTTTTACCCACCAGGTTGTGAAAATATTAGAGCAGAACTTACTAGTATTTAGCCTAATAACTTACCTATAGCAATAAAAGAACATTGCAAATGGGATAGCAATGCCATTTCTTATAAAATTGATGAATCTTCAGCTGTAATAACATTTATCAAAGTTAAGTATCAGAAACGCCTTTCTGCAAAATATTTTATTGAGAACTTTGTAATCTTATAGCTAATACTAACACTTCTCTTTAGTTAATAAAAATGGATGAGAGTTGAGAAGTTATAGGGAATCGTAAAAGAATCCATAATAAGGTTAGTGTTGAAGCATTAGTTATTAAAGAAACAGATTTTAATGCAGTTGCTACTTTCTAGAATCTTAGCCTTAAAGAAGCTGAAGTCCTTAAATTCGACTAAGAGCTCTCTGTAGATACTATAGCACTTAAACGTTTTTATATGCAGAATCTTTATTGTAAAGACATGAGTATCGAGGATTAGAATAATATTTGCAATAGAAAATTCGTTGAAAATTTTAGTTTGTCTGAAGCTCGAAAGCATTTCTTATAGTTGTCTTATTTTCAAAGGTAAGGTCATAATGAGAAAAATGTAATGAAGAGATTAAAAGCTAAGGAAAATATACAATGAAAAATTACCTGCTATAAAGCTGAAGAGAATCTGAAAAAATCAGTGGCAGAAAACTTATGTAAATTTTATTCAGCAAATCATTGGAAAGTTATACAAGAACTTTTTCAAATACTAGGCTTTACTGACAAGCATACTCTTTCTGGTGATACTGCATCAGAATCATTTATGCAGTTTTGTGAAAGATTTATAGAAATTCAAAACTAATCTTTATTACTCTTTAAGTTTTAAGTCTTGTGCAAAGGAAACACCAGATCTTCATTCAGCTATAAAAATAATTAATGCAATTGTTGACAATTGATATGGGTATACCATTGAAAGTGATAAAAAAAGAATAGGGCCTAAAGGATAACAAGTTAGATAATACTCATACTAAATTAATCACCAACTATATAACAGTACTGGTTTTGGAAATAAAGGCGTACCAGTGCTTTCACTATATAGGCTAAAAATAGATAATGAAATTATTTTTTCAGAATTGATTTAGGAACTTTTTGATATAGTTACAATTAATTAATAAGCACTAAATTATCTTTATTTTTTTTGTGCCTCTCTAGTCAGTTTTTTTTATAAACAGGTTTAGCATGATCTGTACAAAAGTTAGTTTGAGAATAGGTCAGCTTATTGCAGAATACGCATCTTTTTTAAGTGGTGACTTATAATATTTAATACACCCAGTCTCGCATAAGCATTTTTCCTGTAAAATAATCCATCTTTTTGATATATTGGTAAAACTAAGATGATAAATTAGAAGGAATCTCGTTAGAGTCCTCTGAATCAGTTATATTTCTATCAAGAATTATAATACTTCTTTTTGGAAAGTTATTAAGATTAATATACATTAAATTTCCCTTCATTTTTTATTATAAATAAATCTGATAAATATTCAAAAATATGGCACATGTCTTCTGAAGAAATGTGAATTATTTTTTATTTTAAAGATTTGATTTTCTTAATGTATATATACCAAAAAATTCTACTAATCTACTTATTATTGACATGGCTACCAAAACAGTTACCTCAAAGATCTAAAAACCTAAAGCTAATAACTTTGTGTTAGTCTTAGAGCAGTTTTTAGAAAAGCATAATTTGTCAGCTGACTCCATTCTAGAACAATTAAGCAAACATGCTTCTGAACTTGATGCTTTGCTTTCTGATTGGATAGTTCGCAGATATGTTAAAGTTACTTTTGTCAAAGGCACTAATAATAGAGATACTGATAATAAACATTCATTTAGTAAAGAGCAGATAAAGACTCTCTTACCAGATAAGAGAAAAAAAATCTCACTATTAAGGGAAAGGCAGAATACTGTGTTAAGGCTGGCAATTTTGTAAATATTATTACTAATCATTGGGCATTAGATTCAAAAAATAAAGATGAAAATAAAATCATTGCCAGTATTTCACATCAGTTAACATTCCATGTGAAATTAACAAAAGGTAGTGTAGATCCTACAATTATTGAAGAATTTGTCAAAGATAAGGACCTTATTCAAGATTCTAATAAAATTCAGAAAGAATGAACTAAAAAGTGAATGGCTAATCCAGATAGAATTCCTATATATTTCTCCTTAGCAAATGTGAGTAAAAGGATTCAAAACATGGATATTTCCAAAATTTCTACTAGAGAGAATCTTACAAATGTGATAGTGATATTGAGTATAAAACCTACAGAAATAAGATTTCTTCAGATCAATATCTATGAATTGAACTCTTCAAACATTCTATCATAATATAAAGAAGGCTATTCTTAGTACTGTACTGGTTATTTAAAGAACAAAAAAGAAAAGAAAAAAAATTCTGATCTTCAACCATTTCTTTCTATAGAAAAGAATCCAGAATGTTTAAAAGAATTGTTTACTTGGATTCAAGATGCAATTAAGGCTAAAAATTTATTTGACTCTGTCTTTACTAAAAGTAGAACACGTAATGCTTGGCTATTTAATGAATTCTTAAAGTAAGAATCTTATAAAATTATACTTAAAAAATTAAGAGATTATGGAAGTAAACACATTTTCAGAATTCATGGTAGTAAGAATCCAACTCCCCAGCATCTTAAACTGCTTTTGAGAATCACATTAAAGCAAGAATCTGACTGCTTTTATGCAAGTGATAATTATGCTATAGGCAATACAAAATCAGAGGAGTTCTCTTTTGAAAGTGAGAGTTCAAAACCTCAAATATAGGCTTCTTCATCTACACTAGCGACATAGAGCTGGTGAAAGAATATTAGCCCCAAAATGAATACTCTACCGATCTAACTAGTCTGGATCAGTAATCAGCTCAAAAGATTTTTTTACTGAACTATGCACAGCGCTTTCAGCCAGATTGTACGATAGAAAAATAAGTAAATCATCAATCAGATCTTATGTGACAAAAAAATAGATTAGCTAAACATAGGTGCTAGCTGAATTCCACACAAATGACACAACTGAAATAACAGTAGTCTCTCCAGAAAAATAAAACATTTTTACTTCCCTTTGAACTGCGCCTTCAGCAGAAAATAGTTCAGGCATATTAATACTCGCTAAAGGTAAGAAACTATCAAAAGTTTAAAGATACGCTCTTATATTTTTATTAGCTTCTTCTAATTTATTTATTTCTTGATCAGAATAACTGACAATACTAAGAACATTCTGTATTATGCTTATATTTTCTTTCAAATATAAAAGCAAATGATATAATATCACAAGTGACCTTTTCCTATATATTTCTCCTTCAAGATCATGCATATTATTATATAATATAGTAAGATAAGGTGGCAAACTACATTGAGATTTCCCTGTATATTTATTAATTCTCTCATTAAATCAAATAACAACCCAAACAAATCTTTAAGTGTTTTTCCTTTTTTGCTTTAATTCAATGCTGTTTGATTTCTATTCTTAATAGGTCTCTTCTTCTAGTCTAAAAACATATCAAGTTTTTTTTTAAATAGCTATTATATCTTTTTTCTTATATAAAAGCTTACCATATAATTGAGCATTAACTTGATCAGAATTATTATTAGTATTTCTTGTTATGATTGTGTTTATCTCTAGTTAGCATATATTCAATTTTGATACGGAATACTAATTATTAATCCAGGCAATGACTATTTTGATTATATCTATAGTATTGTAATCACGGGTATAGAGTAGCATTTTATAATATATACTTCAAATGGTATTTACTATACAAATGGCAGTAGAATATCAGATTAATCTTACAAAATCAACCGTCAAAGAAAATTCTGAATTAATTTATAGCAACGTAAAAAGGATGATTGGTATTATTGTGAAGTTGTTAAAAGATCATGTTAGTGTAAATAGTTTCCAAGCTAGCAAGAGAGCTAGAATCAAAAAAATTATCAAAAAATAATATGTATTATAGGTTTAGTCCAGATCTTTGTATTTATTTTTTACATATATTAATAAAAAATTTTCTTAGCAAAACTTCCTGATCTCAATTCAGAAAGTGATTTCATAACCTACATTTTTTCTTAGCAAAATGTACATATATTAATAGATTATTGAATATTTCATATCTTCTATAAAATATTATTGATCATAATATTTGAGCTTGAATTATTGTGACAGCGTATTACTAAGCTTGAAGCTGAAAACGCAAAGTTGAGACAGATTATTGAAGAAAATGCCAGACGTGATGCTGAGAATACTAAGCACAAGGTTAGAATCGAAGAATTAGAGAAAAATAGTGTAGATATTTCAGCTAAGAATGCTGAGCTTAAAGTTAAATTAGTCAAATTAAAATATGATTTTGATTCCTTCAACCTTATGAAACCTCAGCAACCCCAGCATGTTACTAATATGCAGAACTCATGCTCTGTTAGAGAAAAAGAGATATCAGCTATATTACAGCCATATGCTTCCTATTATATATCTGATCCTGTAATAGACTAGCCTATAAATGGATCATCTAGTGATAATACAAACATCAAACCATCAGAGAAAAAGATGATGGACTCTTTTCTGGATGAAGTGAATAAGAAAATTGTTAATGATGGAATAAGGCAGAGAAAGTAGGATAAGAAGCTTATAAAAGTAGAACCCATCTCTCCTAAAAAAGGTAAACAGGTATCTGTTGATAAAAAAATACTTCACAAGAAAGAACAAAGGAAAAAATTCATTCAGGAAGTATCTGAGGATTTAAGCATTAAATGTTTTAATACTATGGATAAGCTGGACTTGAATTCTTTAGATATTTGTCTAGAGCAATCAGTATGAAACTGTAATTACTCAGCAGTAGAAATGGAGACAATCTTTTCTCTTTTGTATAAAAAACTTTTCGATACTGAAAAGTTTGCTAGTCATGCAGTTCAAGAAGCCATTATATATTACTGTCAATTTGAAAAAGCTCTTATTTAAAGACGAAGTAAAATAGCATCTAAAAAACAAGTTGATCTGAAATCAATACTGTCAGTAGAATTTTAAATATGGAAATTAGAGCTCAGCTTTCTGCAGATACTTCTGATGCACTTTTATGAAAAAGAATCAAGCAGGCCAAAAAACTCTAGAAGCTTTTTGATGCAATAGGCATAGATAAAATTTATCAGATACATTCATTCTCTGTTAGCAGTATTTCAAAAATAACATAGATAATATGCCAATTGACTACAATATTAAGATAGAATCATCCACCTATGTTCAGCCAAAAGACACTTTATTAAGTGATAAGAAAAATTCTGAATTGTTACATCCTGATCTTAGTTCAAGAAGTAATAAGAAAAATTCTGAGTTGTCACATACTTCTAACACATCAGAGAAACAAGCATTAAAGTCTAAGGTAAATATTTCACCTGCATCTTATTCACAAATTCCTATGACTAATCTAACTTATGACTGATTCTATTTTTGTAACAAGATATTGGATCAATATCCTAATCTATATAATAGTGAAAATTTTGATTATTATGAAATTACTAATGAGAACATGCAGAGGGGTCCTTCTAGGACTGACCATCTGCCTATTATGTAAATTAGGCCATGATGATGAAGAAATAGAAGATAGGTATAAAGCTGGATCTTACTTTATTAAATGTGAATAATATGAAATTGAGATAACTGCATAGTCTGGCTACTTTGGTCAGAAACGCTCCCTATATTTGCGTTTCTCTTGAGAAACTATTTTTTACAGGCTAATTTATGTCAACTATTACCTAATTTAAATTGATTTATAATCATATAAAAAGGCAATATGATCAAGTCTGATAAAATATTAACCTTTGAATATCTGGATTGGCATGCCAAATTAAGTGGATTACCAAGTGTTTTAACAGATAAGATTTGGTCCAACTTATACAAAAAATATAAAAAAGAAACTGGGTATGAGTTATAGCAATTATCAGAAGATTGCCTTCTCATAAATTTGAAGCCAGAAAACAAAGTATCCTATTTATCTTCTTCTAAGCAATGTGAAGAAAAAGGGCCTATAACTTTTGAAATCAGACCTAATCCAGAATTAATTATCAAATCCGTCTTAGAGTACTTCCTATACTTGAAATTTGGAAATAGTTTCAGAGGGATTGATAATTATGATTTTACATCACCTCAGCCGTGGAGCTCATCATACCCTATTTGTGATGGAAAATATGGAAATTATGGATTACATGGCTCATGGTACCGCTCAGCTTTCTTATGATCCCAAATTAGCGAAGTTGCTATCCCAAGATAAGTTGGAATATTGTCTTACTTGCAACTCTTCAAGCAATAAATTCAAGTTTGCAATAGTAGCATAGAAACTTCATATGCAATAGGCTTCATATGTCATCTAACGAGATACGGAGGTAGATTCTAGCCCTTGTGATTTGCGTAGCAATCTGGTAAGTGATCACAGAACTATTAGATGGAATGATGATCACGTATATATATAAATAGATCTACGCGTCAAACTATGTCTGCATACTTTGACAATACATCTAAATGTTGGACTATTCGCGAATACTACGATTTTCAAAAGGAACAAAGTGATTTTAGTAGTATTTTCCATAAAGAGCATAGCTGGCTGAAGACAAATCTAAAGACCATTGTAAATAATAAAGAATCCCATTTTAATAAAGAACAAGTGAGCTGAGCCCAAGAGATGCTTCGCAACTTGAAGGAAAGTGTATTCGCCATGACTAGGCAGGGCACTTTCTAGGTGCTCTGTTGACGATTTTCTAGATCGTCATGGCGAAATAAAATTAAAGGGCACTTTCTAGGTGCTCTTGTTGACGCATCAGCCATGACTAGGCAGGATACTTTCTAGGTGTTCTGTTGACGATTTTCTAGATCGTCATAGTAGACCTATCTTATTCTTTGTATTTTTTTTAGTGTTATCTAGAACGAAATGTCTGATCCAAATGTCGCAGTCTTTTGGAATGAAGTCGATCACGAAAGGGAATTGAATATTGCGTGGGTAAGTTGATGTATTATGTATAACATTAGTTGATTTGCAGAAAATAACGGTTTTCTGATTCCTGATACAAGGCTGAAGGAATGCTACAAGCCGTAAAAGAGACAACTGCCGGAGTTGTGAATGCAATAAAAACAACAAATAAATACACCAACAAAATCTCTTATCATTGCTTCCAGTGGGACACAATATAACAGTTAACTTGAATCTAGGCGAATGGACTACAGAGCTAGATTCCTCATTCGCCTCATCTGAGAATACTCTGACTACACGGTTAGATTCTTCATCTGAATATATTCCTTCATAGATTTACTTTAACTTTTTATAATTTGTAAATTTGACACTAAATTCCTTTGCATATTGTTAGTAATTAATTAGATGACGATGTTATTGTAGCAAAGCGTGAAAAAGTAAGATTGTGATGCCAACGGAAAGAACTCAGAAAAATGAATGTGTCTTTCAAGATTCGGAATCAAAAGTGAAATGATTAATGCATTATAAAATTTATTCTTATCATAGGATGATGATGCTAATGAAAAGGAAAATATAGTCCCTGCTGATGAAGATGCGGATAAGAGTAAAATATATGAAGAACTGGCTAACAATGTGGTAGGTTTGCTTCTATCTTGTTAGTAAACGTGACTCTTTTATAATTATTTTGGTGTTATTTACAGATGAAACAATACATTACTTCAGAAAAATTGGAAGATATTTGGAAAACTGTAATGAAACGTTTAAAAGATAAAAATATTAGAGTACAGTAAGTTTTTTGTCCGAACTGATATAAATTTTGATTTGGTAGGTAATTAACGCATATTGTAATTATAGGTCAATTGAATCTCGTATTATAGATCTCACCAACTGGACAAATCTGGAGTGATCCAGTATATTGAAGCATAAGAACAAAATTGCATTAATGAAATCATTTAATAAAAAATTGGAAAAGGAAAGAATAGATCAGAAAGTTTTAGATTTTATCGATAATTCATCAAATAGTTTGATAATAAGTAATGATTTTATTTATTATTTTGTAAAGGTATATAATATGAATAATATGATCAATAGATAACGCTTAACGCTTATATATTATAGAGGAATTTAACTGATTTACAAGAGTGGAGAACTAAACTTTCAACTATTGGTTTCGAAGATACTATATTGGCATCTGAAATAATTTCATTCTTGTAAGTACATAAATTAAGGTGTAAGTTATATGTTATTTATTCTCTAAAGCAGTCATTTTTTGTAGTCATAAATGCTGTCGCCATGAGATCAACATTTTAACAGTTCCGCTCAGGGAACGCGATTATACATTAACGATCTTAGGTCTATTACTTGGAGATTTATTGCAAGAATTTAATATAGTACAATTCGAATTATTTTGGTATACCACTTAAATCATTTTTTCATGCATTAAATGCTTATGAATTTATTTGTTAAAGGTTTGTAAAAATTTTTAGGATTGAAAAAATATGTAATGCGACTAATTCCTAAAAATGAAAAAGTCTTAACGCTGAATATATAAAATTAAACAAGGATATCACTAAATTAGACATGTCTTTGGAGTTTCGAAACTTTAATATTGAAATTATGACAGTGAAAGTCGGAAACACTAAGATGAAGAAAGATGAATTTAAGTTACAATCTGATCATACCGCCATAAAAATTGAACTAAAAGATATATTAGATGATTTTATAATAAACTTCATTTTAATAAAAAAGATTTAGCGAATATCTATACTATTGGAACTCAAATCACCGGTATAAAATATATATGTTTAATTTTATTTGATTTAATGCTCATCTTTTGTCTCAATAAAATCCGTAGGTCATCACTGGTCTATTTATTCTTTATTATATGATCATGATTTAAATTTTTATTTTTTTATGGAAATGGTAACATTGGATGTGCCAAAGACTCCCTCAACAATGAGAGGCCTCTTACCAACGTTTATTAAGACTTTACTTGAACTTTGAGTTTGTATTTTGCATTACTGATAGATTTACAAATCTGTATATTTCTACCAAGTATTAACGTTTATTCTTTCATTTAATATAGCATACATTGCTGACACTTAACGATAAAGTTTTAAGCATCACAAGTGTACGTAAAGAATGTAAATCAATGCTCTCTCCACCCTCATCACAACCACATGAAACTTCTGAAACTCCTAAGATTAAACGAGTGAAAAAGGATATTTTTTCTATATTTGATAATTTATATCAAAATTAATCATAGTTTGTTATAAAGTTGTATTAGATTATTTCCGAGGTCGCAATATCGTAATATGATATAAATAAACTGCTTTATAATCAAAGCTTTATACAGTGATTCAAGAGATTATGTACTGTAATCTGAAATAAGAAAGAATAAAAATTATGACCAGAACAACTTTCATAGCTAAAAAAACCTATTTTTATGAACTGATTCTATCCTCTTTCTGAGCGTGTGAAGGAAAAGGGTTTTTTGGATCTAATTAGAAGTGAAGTCGCATATATCATAAAAAATTTTAAGGATGTATTGATTACGCCACAGTCACGTGATCTGTTACGGCACCTAGCGTCACCTAGAAAAAATGGTAGCCAGATAGTTATAGTTTTGCTGAGTAACACGTGATTTCAGATACTAATCTTTGGGAATTATATTTACAAAAATCACTACGTATACAAATCAATATAATTGTTTCACGTTGAATAAAGTTAATTTTTTTTTTCACTTTTTTTTCCTCTTTTTTTCTTTTTTTTTACAAACGATTACTTTTTTTTATTAAACGCGTAACATAATATTTACTAAATATAATAAAAGATCGCAAAGTTTTTTTATTACATTTCCTTTTACTACGCCACGATGTCAAACTAACAAAATAAAACTTGTAAAGGATGTCATGTTCGTCAAAGCTATGAAAATTTTCTGAATGAGAAAGGTATTACTTTGAAAAAATGTTTACACTGCTGAGATAAACTTAAAATTTCTCGCTTGAAAAAAAGTATTAAAAAATCTGACACAATAATTAAATATTCAGATATTACCGAAACTGTATATAATCATTTAATTTCTCTAAATGATACTAATGAATATTATGAAGGGGAAAATGTGAAGTTAAATCTTGATCTCGATATTGAATTATCATCTTTTCTTGACTTTATTTTAGAAAAAGATGCATCAAATAAGAAAAATCTCGAAATTGAAGTTAGCAATCACGTAATAACATTGATTTCAGAAGGTGATAGATATTCATGGGTTTATTGGAATAAAAATCAAAAAAAAACTCTCTTCATATATTATATTATTGCAATTGTCGAATTGAGCTTAGAAAACGGCAAGTAAAGCATTCCATAGCAGATAAATAAAGAGACATATCTACCTATTTAGAACATTATCATTGTAATGGAATAATAAATATAGAAATATTATCACAATTGGGCTTAATCAAAATTAAATATTCTCATAAAATGTTACATCCACAACCAAGGCATGTTAATATAACATATGAAATTAAAAAATTTATTCAAATTGTCCTGTTTCAGATATTTGACACCAAATTCAAGAAAATCTAATTATTGGATATGAAAATATAACAGTTCAACAAACTTATTATTAGTAGTCTATTCAATCTCGTAAGGTATACTACCATAATACCAATTCTTTATTATCAGCAAAATGTTTGTTAAAAGAGTTTAACCAAGAAATTATAGTAAATAATCTTGATACTTCTACACTTGCTCTTGGATTTTTAACAGAATTGTTTTATAAATTGCTTTACCATAATTTTGAAGCAATTGAAATCGATGCAACTTATAGTACTAATAATTTGGCATGAGAATTGTATGCAATTATAGATATAATAGATGGTACTGGATTTTCTCTTAGCTATCTTATAATTTCAGTTAGGAAAAATTGAAATATAACAGGAATTCTTATTCAGTAGATGCAAGCTTTAAAAGAACAAAATCTGAGAAACTTTCCTTTTATTTTAACTGATAAAGATTTTGCAGAAATTAATACAGCACAAACAGTATAGTCTGAAGCACGTTTACAATTATGTATCTAGCATTTAAGACAGATTATTAAGCAACGTTTATCATCTAATAAAGTTGGTATATACTATTCTTATAATCCAAAAGCTACACATAAAGAATGTTCAACAATAGATCCTAGTTGGAGAATTATAAATAATTCAAATTCAGTATTTTGCCTTTAAATTTATGAGAAACTGTAATTAAACTTGTTGAAAATTATTCAAATCGTCATATGTTATTGCCAAAATATAATGGCACCTTTATTACAAATACAGATAAAATTTGAAAAGAGTATGTCAAAGAAATTATAGAATTTTGCAAAGATAATGAATTACTCCGATTATGGATTTATCTATGGAAAGAATGGTATTCAAAAGAAAAGTGGAATTTATGAGCAAGAATGGTTAATAAAAATATTAGCTATATTAAAATTACAATGATCATTGAATCACATTAGCGATATATTAAACATGACCATTTATATAAGTTTTACAAGTCCCAAGTTGATCATTTATGTTTTATTCTTATTAAAAAAATGATCAGCTAGCAATTATATCAAATTCAATTACTACAGCAAGGTCGTTATTCAGTACTATGATAAAAGGAGTTTAAAAAAGAATGGAAGCAACATGAAAAAAAACTACAAAAATAAATAGCAAATATTTTACAGATCCAATAAAGTGGATATATGCATGTTCTGCATATATTCAAAGCTGTTTCTTTTTATGTAAACATCTAGTTAATTCTGTTGAAAAAGTTGATGCAATATTCTTTAAGAAAGTAAGTGACAAGTTGTTTTGATTTTGATATTTGTATTCATTATTTAATTAATAATGTTTCTAATTAAAGGTGCAAAGAAATGTAAATTATCCATTAATTTCATCTTATGAAGGTGAACTGATTAATGTATTTAGTTTGAAAACTTCTCAAAATCATAAAATTTCAAATATTTTATTGATCCAAAATTCAATTACCAAGAATGAAGATGATTATATTATTGAAAGTAATGATAAAGAACAACAAATATATGAAACTAATTTTGCTTATTTATGCGAAGTATTAGATAAGTAATTAAATTTTATATACAGATGCATTTTTAGTTTTTATTAATGTCAAAACGAATTTTTTACAAGAATTGTTAAAAGAATCATATAACAAACTAAAATAACATCTATAGTTAAAAAATATTTGCAAAATTTTCAGATTGTTAGAAAATATAAATAATGATATTATAGTACTAGAAAATCATCGAACAATGGCAAAAACATGGAAAAATTTTAACAAAAATACAATGTATTGGGAATAAATAAAATAAATAATGACAATAAATAAAATTAGTGATTTTCTTAAAAACTTAATCTTTTTATTTATTTATTCAGTTATTTATCAAAGTATTTTACTAATAAAAATCATGATAAATTAACTAGAAATCAGTTTCTAAAATTATGTGTTATCCAGTAAAACTATCTGGATACCATTTTTTCTAGGCAACGCTAGGGTGGTTCAGTACTGAACACCCTCAACACCTGTATTTTATTTTTTGAATATGATTTCACATATTTTTTATATATTATATTATAAAGCATAGTGCAGTTAAGAGGTGTAAATACTGTATAAGTGCTTATCAAATAAATAAAATAATACATGCAATTATAAGGAAATTGCAAACTAATCTACATGTGTATGAATATAAAATTACCACCTTTTTTCTTTACTATTTGCTTATTTTTCTGAATTCTGTTAGGCAAAGAAAAAAATTCTGAAGTCTGATTGGCTGATCATCTCGTGATTTATAAAAACTAGAACTCTTCTAGAACTAGGGAGATCATATGTGATACAAATTTTAGCCGAAAGGCGCTATGCATGATTTAGTCATCAATGATAATCAGATCTAATTTAGCCAAATTATAAAATTATGAATGTTTTTTATATACTTGTTATAAACTGACATAAATAATTATAAACAATATAAATCACTAAAAACACTATTTTATCATTTAAACATTTATAAAGATAGATTTAGATAGTAATATCTACTATAAGCTTTGTTCATCTGATCTTGATGATAGATATAATGAGATAATAAAAGTAATATACCTTTTACAATATAAACATGATAATGAAATATCAGAAATTTGATGCTCTTATATTCGTAGTTTATTTAGAAAAATACTTGAAGAGAACTCAGAAATATTTTCTAAGAATGAATATATTCACATATATGTAAAGTTTTATAAAGATGATAAAGGATTCCATCTTAGCGGAAATCTAACAAATTATATATATTGTAGTGTGTGTGACTCCCTAATATTCATTCCTGAAAGGCTTATAGACAAATTTCTCTATTGAGATGGCTACTTGAAGAGATGTATTGTTAGTAAAGCTAACCCAATTGAACATGTAAAAAGAAAAGAAATTCTCCAAGCTATTGATAGGAAGAAATTTCAGATCTGTAGTATAAACAGTATATATTACAAGAAGAAGCTAAAATGAAGCGTCTTTAGTTAGAGCTTTCATCCCAATCTACTCTATATTTAGAAAAGGATAAATTGGCATCAGTATCATATGATTATGATGATCATTTAATTGGCTATAAAGCTTACCTTTCGGCTAAAATAACTGTAACAAAAAACACTATGTCAAATACTTTAAATTTTGAGTCAGTATATATTTTACCTGTCAGGCAAGAAATGATTCTACTAACTTCTTATCAGTCATCAAATTGCAAAAGTGATATAGGCAAAATATTTATCTTATCTCAGTATATAAAACAGCCAAAAGGCACTGCATTGAGATTAAGAAATGGAACAGTAATCACGATTGTTTAACTGGTTTGACTGATTTTAAGAAATATTCTACATTATACATAAAACTGAAATAATTTTGATTTTGATCATATTAAAAGTCAAAATAGTCAAAATTGATTTTGACTTAAAGTTATAAAAGTTGAATAGTCAAAATAAATTATAAGGATTAAAAGTCAAAATAAATTATAAATATTAAAATAAATTATGAATATTAAAATAAATTATAAATATTAAAATAAATTACGAATATCAAATTATAAAATAATGATAATGTAAAATTATAAATCACATAATATGCTAATGATCTAATGATAAAATTTATTAAATTTAGTAATACATAATATGATATACTGTATAACTGATTATCAATTAACTTTTTCTTTCTAAATGAATAATGGATTTTGAA